GGGGGGGGGTGGGGGCTCTTGAGACTCCCTGACCTCCTGATAATCTCTATTAGCATTTCAAATGTAGAGTGCCTGATAGCTGTGGGATAGCTGTGGCCTGCAGACGTGACAGGGAAACAAAGGCTTGATCTCTTCTAATTCATGGTCCACAAAAGTCACCACCTTGAAAAGGACTGATACCAATGCACCTGGCCTAACAGAAAGGAGATGGGAGTCAAGCTGCTTTTTTGGGTTGTTTTTGTTGTAAAGGCCCCCCCAGGTGCATGTGAGTGGGGTAGGAAACCACACGGATCTTTTCCTTTAGTACAGTATAACAATAAGGTAAAACGTGCCTTTAGGCAGCTACTCAGCACTCACCAGTGAAGTGTCCTCACTCTCTGAAACCTTAAGTCAGAAAGAGCGGCAGGGTCCTAGGCATGGAAATGTTACCAAACAAAATACAAAAAGGATGGTATTACCAACACTTGATCCATCCTGTCTCACCGTGTCCTATACAGCTACAGGCTGGCCACTGGACATCATTGCAAGGTGTTAAAAATTCTTTTGTGGGACCTGACTTATCTGTCCAAATTAAAGAGGCTCCCCTCTTCCTACCATGCTGGAGTACCCTGAAGTACCATACGTTGGCCAGATGAGGTCTGACAGCAACTAACTTCTGGTCCTTCAAGTTGTAGTTTCTTTTTGCTCCCTAGGGTGAGAGCCATGCTTGGGGGAGAATGAGAGATCTCATGAGAAAGACACGGCTGAGAAACCAGAACAAGCTAGGGCTGTCCTCTGCTGCTCTGAAGAGGTCCTGCCCACAGTTGTACAGGTAAGTCAGAGCTGTGGGAGGTTTTCACTTAGTGTTGGGAAGACGTGGTGGGAGATTTACCTCTGGTGTTGTTGGCCGGAGAAGACCTCTCCTTACCTTCTCTCCATTCCATATGGTGGTCCTCACCAGCACAGCCATTTGCTTCTTTAGTGCCCAGGTGATCTAAGATCCCAACTGGATAATGTTACCTGTGTGAGAATAATGGAAACGTTAGGGTCCCTAAAAGAAGGTGCTTATCCCCAACAGGGCAAGGGGATGTTGACAATTAGCCAGGGCCATTCTATAGCCTAATTATTTGTCTTTCTGCTCCCTCCTAAGCATTACAGTCAAGGTTAATACTCTCTATCCACCTTCACATCTTTCATTCGGTGGAACAGTAACCCATATTGCACCTGATGTGTGATGGCATGGGACAGTCAGGATCAGCTGGAAGCTTTCCTGTCTGAGGACATGAAGTTTGCTGAGCGTGTGCTCATGGGTGGGACCTGCTTGTTGCTGTGGATGAACATTAGGGTCAAGCACAAGGTCTTATTTCTATTAAGAGATCCATGCTGGTCCCTTGGGTGAGTTTGTCTACCAGGCTAGTAACATACTAATATACTGTATGCTATATACATATATACTGTGTGGTGCGTGTCTGTCTGAGGTGATGACAGTGCTGCCAGCTACCCCTTGCACAGATATTCCCTGTGTGCTTGCCAAGTCCTTTCCCAGCTGGTCTGGTAAATCTGGGGTGTTTTTGTATATAATCAGGTAACAGGAAGAGCCTGAGTATGTTATTTACCAAAGCAGGAGCATGACATGGAGTTGTGCTCCTCCCTGTGTTTTTTCAGCTGAGGTCTCAGTAACCTTGAGCTGAACAGCTCAAATGTGCTTAAGCCCTCCTCAGGTTTTAGAGGGGGTGATGGTGGGGAAACAGAAGTTGTTTAAGCTCTCAGGAATGTCCCATTGTTCCCCTTAGACAGCCTGTACCTACCTTAAAAAATGCATAAGGGAACTGGGAATCTTGTAATTACAGCTGGAAAAAAAACCCTCTGTAGTTCATGGAGTGATTTTTCCAGCTGGGAAAAGCTTGGTTGGGACCCAAGCACACGTAACAGGCGAGCTTCCTCCTATTGTTTGGCAAACTGAAAGAAACACAAAGCAGAAAGAGATCAAACAGTTCCATCTAAAATAGATGGTGAACCAGCTGGGGAAAAAATACAAACTCTTGTGAACCTTCCCTCTAAACCTGAATAGAACCTGGACTTTATTTGGGCTTCAGCAAAGTCCTGTCTCTGTAACCCCCTGCTTAGCCCTGTCTCTGCGGCACTGAGGACACTGCCAGCGCTCCCTGCGTGAGGATTGCAGGCAAGGTCCTCAGCCACCTGAGTGATGTGCTTCCAGTGAAGGGCCAGCCCAATAGCTCCTGACAGAAACACCTTTTGCTGCTTTCACACGTACACTGAACAACTACTACTGTCATGAAAATGCTGTACAACAAGATACCAAATGGACGATTTTTTTACTTGGCTGTAACCAGGCAGCCCCAGAGGTCTTGTACGCTGATTTTTCCAGACGGCTTTCTGTAGCTGAGGAATGGCTTTCTCTTTTCTTTCACTAACTTTCTTCTCCCATATATCTACATAAAACCCTAGCCTCTACTTATGCCCCCTGTCTCCCTCCATTTCCTCTTCTCCTGATTCCTAGTTCTTATTCCCCAGCCCTATCTGTGTTTGCTCTTGCTCTTTTTACCTCACTCCCTGCAGTAGCAACGCACTGATATTGGGCTTTTCACTGGTGCCTGGAGAAGCCAGGCACCTTGCTCCTATAGCATTTTGGATATGGTGCTCTCCGACTCCTTTGAAATAAAAAGTTAGACTTGGTGGATCAATGACAGCCCTGCAAATGCTGCTGGACAAAAAGCCAGGCCTTTCCCGCGGCAGCACCAGAACGGTAAAGCAAGAAAGCCTCACTTGTCTGCAGCTCTTGGCAAAGCAAACATGGAAGCTTTGATACTCTCAGCATTTAAAGCCACTGTCTTTGTTATAATTTATGAAACATGTTTGTCCTGGCTCCTGGTCCTGTTTGTACATGCAGGCACATGGAATTGGCTGGCTTTTGCTTACCCGGGCTTCTTTGGGCCCAGGGACATCTCACAAGGTCTTGAACTGGAACAGGTTGGAGCCTGGTGCCCTATATTAACGTACACCTCTGAAGGAAGCAGAGATTTGTTGCTTTTGACACCCAGTCCCACTTGAGTCATTTGGGCAATTAGAGAAAGTCTCTTTGTTTTTGTTTTTGTAACTAGGTCAAAGCAAATCCCCTTTCATGCTCCCCCACTCTGCGTATGATGAATGATCTGCTCCAGGGCGGTTGTTTTGTTTTTCTTTTCTGTCTTTTTTTTTTTTTCCTCTAACATCTACAAAAGAATTCTCATAGTAGAGAGAGAAGTTGGTTCTTCCAGCGGGAGAGAGGGGGGCCTGCCAAGGTAAACATACTGGCACAAGGCTCAGTGGTTTGTCATACATTGTTCTAAACAGGCTCAGGTTTTCATTTCATTTTCTTTTTCCTGCTAGTACGTTTACTCCTGCAAAGCAACGTCTGTTTTGTGCAAAGGGCCAGAACAGGCTGATGAATGACTTGATCAAGGTGTTATGAACTTAAGCAGCACACAGACCTGGATCTGACCTATGGCAGGAAAATTAGATTTCTTTCCCAAATCATCGCAGAATGATCCCTCCACAAAGAGCAAGGAACTTATTTCCAGCTCAGATGACCTGCAAGACGAGAACTTTTTGCCTTTCCACTCTGACTGATTTTAGTGGCAGAAAGCTGTTCTCAAATGATAGTGGAGCATCATATGGTCAAATACTTGCCCGTGTTGAACAATTAGAGTTTGGTGCTACTTTGAACAGTAAGGAAAGAATCCAGCCTGGCCTATGAAAGCTAGACTGCAAGTTCTGCAGGAGCCTACCTTGATCAATTTATTGCCTGCACATTGCCACTCCATCTGACATTGTAAAATGTGTGAAGTTGTCTCTGGTTAGAATCTCTGGAATGGTCCCCCAAAACCCAGGGTCGAGGAGGAGCGCATTAGCACCTTCATATGATTTTTCCTTACTTTCCCCACCTCCCTTTGGGGACGTACAGTCTCCCACTACTTGTCGTGGCTGCTGCCGGGAAGCAGACTGGACCAGCAGCTGTTCCAGCCCTGGCAGAGATAAAGAGGCAACTATCTCCATGAAAGCAGTTGTGCCCAGAAGCTTTTCTGATGCTCTCCCCAACCCCTTCCCAGGGCA